GGGTTTTTCTTCAAATTTCTAGTCTGGGCTAAAGACAAAATTACTATGACAATGAACAAGAATCTTTAAACATTGAAGTCACTTCTTTACTATCAGGTAAGTGTCATTGAAATCTTAGGAATCTTTTGAATAGTGAAAAATATTGTACAGTCAAATATTATTCCACTTGTTCCTACAATGAACCCAAGCAAATCAATTCCATCACACACATTTTCATATTTTACAAGATTTTTACTTTTATTACCTTCTGGTAGGTTTATATTGCATATTTGTGTTTCACCTACCCTAAAATATTATAGTTCTAACATCAAACAGGGTTTTATTTCATTTACCTTATAGCAACATGAGCATATGGACTGAGGCAGGGAAAATTATAACAAGCTCATCCAGTGAACTAAGTTTGAATGAAAATTGAGTTGGAGTGCTTACATATGTTTTGTAAATAAATCTGGCAAATATAAATAAGTATCTGACACTTAATTTATAAAATTCTGGATCATTAACATGCATTACAATTACCTGGAAATAGAAACAGTTCAGATTTACATGTATATATCTATATTTATAATTAGATATTTATATCTACAATGTATGTGATATGAGATACAAGTTTTGCTCAGTGGTGTTTGTTTAATGTTGTGTGAACATTGTGACAGTATCATTGTTTATGTCATTGTTTTGTGACATTATTTGTTAGGATTTGGTTCACAATTTAATTAGATTCATTAAGGAACTTTTTAGCCAGAAAGTGATTATAATCTAAGTAAAAATACATGTATTTTGTGTGAGGAAATGTTTACACTGAACATTCACAGTGAATATTTTATATATGTGTGTGGATTGGAAAATGTGACATATACTTAAAAGTATGGAACAGAAAAGTTTAAAAGCTAAATTGTGTTTTCCATAATAGATTAATTTTGTAAAAGGTTTTTTTTTTTCAATTAATTATTTGTCACTAATGGTTGACATGTTATTTTTCTGTATATATCAGAAAAATTTCCAAAGTTTTATCATAAAATGTCAACAAAAATTTAAAAAAAACAACTGATGCAATTGCATCAAGTAAAGTATTAAAGCATTAGTTGGACAAAAATGAAGAAAGTTGATTAGTTCTTTGTCATGCAAAACAATAATCAGTAAATTGTTACATTCAGAGGACAGTTTTGTGAGAGCAAGTTGATGCATTGAAGTGTAAAAAGTACAGAATTAGTTTCTAAGATTTACATTTTACATTTCTTGGATTGGAGATATTTATTGATTTTTTATTTAGAAATCACAAATGGATTTGAAAATAATTAAATATTAATTTCATTTCTAAACCTGTGCATATATTTAAAGTTATTTCAAAAATAAGAAATAGTTAATGCTAAAATGCAAGAAAAATATTGTTAAATTATAGATTCATACCCCAGTGACATCAGCCTGAGTTTGTGAAATGTACATTTGGAGCATGTTCATTTTTGGAATTTTGATAAATTGTATCAGTAAAGTTGTGTGGTATTAGATTAGAAAAACCCACATTTGACGAAATCTGAGTAGCTCTATTATGTGGGTGGCAAAAAGAAATTATATAGGTGGCAAGAAATTAGGCAAAAAATTTATTGCTGCAACTCGGCTCAAATAGTTTATAATATTACTCCATCTCTTTTCAAGCAAAAAGTTTTTTGTTTTTTTTTTAAATTTCATTTTATTACATCTTTTAATATTTCTTAATCATATACCAATAATTGGTTTTTCCTCTTCTATAGATATAATTAATACCTATAGCAGGTACTTTAAATTAATGCAATGAATTTAAAATCTAAGGTATTTGAAAATTCTATACATTCATCATTTTAAAATTGGAACAGATGGTCACATATAAAATTTCATTGGAATCAGCTAATACTCTGAAAAGTGAAAGGCAAGATATGTTCAGCTGTTATATTCTATATATAAATCTAGCTTTAATATCTACACAAGGTTGTACTATATGTTCTGGACTTCAACACATTAATTGCCTCTTTGAAGTTTTATGGCTAATTAACCAATATTTTTCAAAAATATTCTCAAAAACAGATGCTTGAAAAGCTGTTTTATTACACATCTTGCCTTAAGATATAATCAAAGGGTTATCACTGTTAAACCAATTCCTAATTTAAGATGTTAACTCCATAAAACCTGATGTGAAATTAATCCAGCATTCTATGTTAGACTGTTGACTTAATAATTAACAGGCTTTTTGTTTGGCTCAGGCTTTTTCTTGTACAAGATCATGTTCAGAACTGAAATCAAGCTGGAAATGAAGGTAGAATTCTCAGGTTATTATGAATGTAAGATGGTCATAATTTTAGAAATTTATTTATTTTAATTCTTGACCAATCATAACTAATCAGTGTCATATAGTTTGAGCCACATTTTACCTTTCAAAAACAGTCTCAAATAATCTAAATGGAAGACAGTGTATACCTTTTCTTATGATAATCAACAGTGTGGACAGTGAATTCAAGTAATTTCAATTTAATTTGAAATTTATCTATGCATACAATTGCTAGTGACATCAAAGTATTATATATTACACACCTTATCACAGAGTCTCAAGACCAGGATAACTCCAATTTATTTCATTTTTGTGCCTCCCTGATTGTGACTGTGAACAGTCCTAAAGACTATTTTAAGTTCAAGCATTATTAACATTATGCATTATAATGATTATCTTGATGTTTGAAGGGGTCAGACTAGCTATTTCTGGCATTCAAGGTCAAGGCCATTCTGGCAAATATTTAAGAAAACGAATAATTTCGAAAATGTTGTCTCTGTTCCATTGAGCTTGTGAGTTAAGACAATATTTGCATATCCTGTATTCATCCTGTCGACAGTAAATGCCCTTTGCAGTTGTCATTATTGGCTGACAGTTCTTGGCATTTATGTTTACTGGTATATAAACATTATGTAATGGAGATTGCCAGAATTGTCAATGACAATAACAGTAGCTTCTTGTACATTATACATGTAATATAGTCCTGTGCAATTGAGACTGCATAAATGTCTTGGCATTAAAACAACATTTGTCCAACAAGGCGGAAGATTTTCTGTTACAAGTTTTATATAATATATCATTAGGATTATAAATTATGCAGAAAATCATGGTAATATATATTAATATTTTCAATTTTGTTTTTGCCAATGTAATTTAATTATCAACCTGAAAGAAAAATGTTTGATTGTGTCTGTGACAAATGTTGATGTAATTTGACATGAATGCTGTAACTCGGAGAATACCATAGATACAGATATTTGTAGATTTTGAATGGTTGAATCCCTCATTAAGTTTTGTTAACAATTTAGGAATAAATAAAGAAGTTTGCATGGCTTATCAAAATCATAGTAACAATTTAATTAGTAACAATCATAGTTACAATTTAAGAACATAAAAAGGAGTTTTAAAGGATTTATTTTAATTTTAGCATATCAATGATTTTTGACGTGGTCATATAAAATAGTGACAATTTAAGGACATGTAAAGGGCTTTTACACAGTTGATTTTAAGGAAATATCATTGATTTTTAAAATGTGATCACATAATATAAACATTTTGGTTATATCATTTAAGGACTTGTTATTTCAGGTTTTACATGGTTAAGTTTAAGGACATTTCAATGATTTTTTACATGGTCACATACCAATGTAAGGACATGTAAAGAAGTAACATTTACATGGTTTATTTTTATATTGATATTTTTGATTTTTTAAATGCGGTCACATGATGCCAAATTTACTTGATTATGATTAAAGCACATAATTACCATGGTTTAATTTTAGGACATATAAAAGATTTTATACATTGCATAAAGAAATGACATTGACATTGAAAGAATGTAAAAGAATAAAGAATAATTTAGATTAATAGAGTATTATATTGATATAACATTCTCCATTTTGATAAAAAGTTTGCAGAAATTAAAATGATATATATCATCATGTACTCAATGTAACATTAAAAAGTTAAAAGAATTAAGAACAATATGTAATTATCATGATAAGTTGTTGTGACCTTCATGCATTAATGGGTTGAAATTTGATAGGAATTAACCAGTTACTGCACTAAGGTAAAATTATTGGAAATTGTTTACAAAAGACAAATAATTTGTAATTCTAATAATATTAATGAGGTTTTTTTTGACATGACAGGAATGGAAACATTTTTCTGAGATTTGTGTATCATTTAATGTTAAGTCTGGACCAATAACTTATGTGACAATTTACAGATTGTTCCCCCACCCTGTTTCTCAGAGCAATCATTTTAATTTGAGCCAAGACTCAAAAATAAAGTGTTGCCACGCCCTTCACTCAAACCAGGATAAAAATCACACAAAAAATCAATATACACTGAACTCTTGAGTGTAATTTCTTTAATATTTATATAATCCTTTACAGTTTTTTCCTTTAAGTGCTTCACTTTTTTTAAAGACTTGATCTATTTAAGACTTCAAAATTTTATGTTTTCAGACTTTTTGACCTCAGTGGATCAAGCTCCTTTAAAGATTTTAGAATCATTGATATCATCAGAATAATTATGAATATTTACAATAGAAAAACTATCGAATCCTTATAATATTGATAATTTATAGAATTAATTGAAGATTTTCCTCAGTATGCAAGTAATGTTTTTACGATACGTGAAGAAATATCATGCATCTATTAGATGATTACTTTGTTTGTCTGTTTTATTATTTATCAATTACTAAAGCTGCCAGTAAAACATACAAATAATACGCAAAGACAGCAAAAAAGGATTAGCGACATATGGTATTCAAATTAATGCAACATCGAAGTCTTTGTTTTTACATTATCAAAGTATGCGTTACTCTGCCTGTCAGAAAAAAAATGGAATATTATCTAAGCTGATAATGCTTACTTTTCTAAACATAACTTTTCTTTTGTTTCCAGAACCTCTCTAAGGTCTAGTGTGTTTGTTGTTTATTTTGTTAATATTTTGAAAACGCAAAAAAACACATTCTCCGACGAAACATCTTTAAACCATTCTTTTCAGCCTGCACATCTTTTATCATCTACGAGAATGGAAATGAAGCAATTTTTCGTTAAAAAATTTCTTTGATGAAATGAAGATATTGCTATTTTATTGGTGAAGGGTAGAGCCCATTAATTACATATGCTGTATTTGCAGAAAGATATAAATGAATCATAAAATGTTAGTGTTAACAGTTCTGATATGTATGATAATATACCATGGAATATATCTGTAGATTATATGTTCGAAGTTCTTCCCTCCGTTGTGATCAGATAAAGTGGCGTTTTTTTTTCTTCTAGTATATAATCTGATAAACGGATTGTTTGTTGTGAAATTTTTTTTTATAAATTTTGGATAAGTTAAGATTTACGCATTAAAATGTCACATTCAAGATGGAACACACGTCCTGGCAGTGCAGATTTTGCTCGATTGTACTACAGCGTATCTTGATCATTAAACATTGAACGGTTACCTTTAAACAATCATTTTTAAAGATGATATTAGTAAAGAACGCTGTAAGTTAAAAAAATGTTAACGACGGAATAAAATGTTATGAAATAATTTGTTAAAATTCAATGCAGATGCTTTTATTTATTAACAGCTGAAATTTAATGCAAGTTTATTGACTACTTTGCAAGCCAAATTGATCAGTAATTTTAATCAAATTTGTTGAAAATATGAAAATTTTAATTAAAAAGATTTTAGTTTTGCACGGAAGTGGTAGATTTCAGTGTTTATTGCTAAACATTTCAGTCCATTATTAGTTAATACACCAGGTGATTTTGTTTTTTGGAATTTATTGAAAATAGGTTCATATTTGTGGATTAATAAAAAGAAGTTTTAAGGCAGATTGATTGTAAAGATATACTAAGTCAAGAAGTCTTCCTCGGGAAATATTGCAGTAACAATTCAGGCATCTGATTCCAAAGTATTTTAAATTTAGTAAAATACTGAATTTATATGCCACTTTTTTTTAACTCAACGGGCTTTTATGTTACAAATTTACAAAACAGAATTGCGACTTTCAGAGACAATGGAATAACGCTTTTTATTAAAATAAGAAATGAATGTAATCTATCTAGGATTTTTATCAACTTTTTTACTAACAACATGTAACCATGTGATATGTCACAAAAGGAAATCTTCAAAGGAACAGGTTTGTTAAACAAATGTCTTCACAATGTCATAGGTGCTTCAAATTCAGGCAAACAGAATTTTGCCGAAATATTTTATTTTTATACAACAAATTAAGAATATACGATTTCTATGGGAACAGTAATTTTTTCATTTGAATACAGTTGAAGTTTAATGATAGCCAGATTTTTGCTGTAAGATTATGAAGTTGCTTGTGAAATCTTGTGGAACAAAATAAATCTTGTTTCTTATATTTTGGCGTGCTCATGTGTGATATTCCGATATGGATGATCAGGAAAATTTAATGCGAATGTCAAGTTATGATGAAGAAGTTTTGCTGCATGGATTCGGTCTAGTCAATTATTTACAAAATAAAGTAAGTATTATAATAATGTTCTCTTTAGAGATAGATCTATCACTCCATTGCTACATTTTGTTCTCTGATGACATAATGGGACTGATGACAATTTCATATACAAAATTAGTTGATTAGTTAATTAATTGTTTTTTCTTATAACTCTGAACTTTGACTCTGGTAATAAGTCCAGTTTACCTGCACCTAAAACTGCATGTTCTTTATTGCTTTAGCTTTACTGGGCTTGCTAGGCTTCTGAATTTACCAAATTAAGTAAATTTTAGGGTCAGGGAAACTAATGTGTCATTCAATACATTTCTAGAACAAGTTAATTGGCAATTAGCATGACAGTTATATGTATATGAAAAGCAGTTTTTGGTATTTGCCATCCACCTGCTGTCCAAGTGCCTGAATTGTGTGAAAAAGGATTATCAGGTTACTAAATGAATTGAAAATTTACCAAATGCAGAATGACATATAATAAAATTTTTTTGGCAGAGTGTCTTTAAACCACTTACCCCTCACCACTGTAAGTTTAAATCCCGTGAGTAACTTTGGATTTTTTCATGTGAGGTAGCTGTCACTTAACTAATTAGCTAGCTGAAGGAACATCGTTTGTTCTACTTGGGACACCTGAAGTCTTCCTCTGGTAAAGCGGGAAAGTCACCACATGACCTGTACTGTGTTGTTGTGATGTAAAGCCCGACACAAAATGTTTAAAGAAAAAAAAACAGTTACTGTATGAAAATTTTGATGAAAATACATATATATATATTATTATTATATTATTTATATTAAGTCTTTGGACCTTGCTAATATTATATTTACATCATCATCATCATCATCATAATATATTTCAGATTATTAAATGAATGCATGGAATTTCTTCTGTTGTGTCAATCAAGGCTCCAGAAATCTGACTGATATTATTTTCTCCCAATATTATCAAGTGTCTTTTATTACAAGATATCTGTAATCAAATATTTGTAATTAGCAGATGAGAAGTAAACTAATTAAGACAACAAGCACTCAATCTAAAATAGTAGACCCCCAGGCAATGCTTTAAGTATGATATCACCCTAGTACCTACAGTATATATTATATGTTATACAGTTTTATTTTAAGTAGTATGATAGGAATCAGGTAGCTGTTCTTGTTTAAAGCTCAATAACGAATGGTTAGGTCAATGGACCTGGGATTTTTTAGTTTTTTTAATAAGTTCAAGGCATGACATATTTTCCATGGGCATTTGATTGAAGACAAAGAATTCATCAAGTTGACATAACTCCACCACTTAATATTCATGAAAGATGGAAAAAAAACAACAACAACCAAATATTTATGTATGTGAGCCCATGGTACCTTAGTTGATAATAAAAAGCGTTTTAAGTGTATTCACATCGAATTTGAAATAATTATATGTTGACTGTCAATGGCATGTAAGTCTGCTAAGCACTTTTGCAGAATTATTCTCCCTTTGCTATGTTGTTTTTATCTATCAATCCAGCACTGAGAAAAGTGCAGTGCAGTGCTCTGTTCACAGACAGGTCTCGCTGTTATCTAAGATAATCCAGAGCTCAAATTCTGCCATTCTCCAATTTCAAATTATTATAGATAATCATTTTAACAGTTTTTAATTTCAATTTAAACAAAATCTTCTTGAAAGCAGTTCATTTATTTGCAATGAATGTTTTTATTTTTCAGTAGATAATATTTTCAGTGAAGAGCATTAAGCCAGCTCCCTTATATTTTTTGGCCTTGAACATTATGACTATTTTTGTTTTGTTTTGAATGTTTTCAAAATTAAAGCATGAATGCCAAATAACGTCATATTGATTTCATGATTGTGTTGTGGAGAGATGCTTCTACTTTTATCACCAAATAATTCTCTTCAGTGTCTACAGTCTGATTGTAACCCCATGATAGGAATCTAAAAATATCAAGAGAACAACTATTTTTAGCTGCCAAATTTTGTTGGGATGAAATTGAAGGCCAACCTGTATGGAGATTTTCATGAAAAAATAGGAAGAGCAAAAGATAAAAACACATTTAATAACTAAAGTTTGTGAGTTAATGGGGGAATACAGGGTTTCCTCAAATGTTCCATAATCCATAGTCTGTGGTTATAGTGTTCTTGCTGCCATATTTAAAATCTATTTAACCATGATTTAATGACTACCATAAAATTCCTAATAAACACCCCTCCCCTAATAAAGGCCCCCCCCAGGCCTTTTGATAAGGAAAACAATCTACTTATCAGTGCTGAACTCATAATTAAAGCCATAATTTTATTCAAATCATTCAGAATCCATAGTATTTTATAGTAAACACAAATATGTATAATATGAACTTTAAAACCTTAACAATTTTTAATGTTATTACCAACACTTGCTAACTCTAAATGTATTTACAGTGATTTTTGGATTTAGGAAAAACTGTATTGTAATAATAGCCCCCCTTTTGGAAAATGTTTAGCCCCCGGGGGGCGTTTAATAGGAATTTTACGGTATTTGGAATGACAACATGACTGTGTTATGTTAACTTTGATACATCCTCATTTGATCCCATAGACCTATGCTGGAATTAAGAATATTTTGGGCTTTTCTCAGCTAATCTGGGAGTACAAACAAACTTTTACAGTTGACTGGTTGACTAATCTATTGTGGCTGGTAGTGCACCATGAGGCTATAATGGTAAAAGTTTGTATGTAATAGGAGGTGGAGGTTAGGGGGGATAAGCATGGAAAAACCCAAGATTTGCCTCAAGTTCCAGATAACTTCTATTCATAATTGTTTAGATCAGGATTGTTTAGATTAACAAGTTTGTTAGAAATAATTAATTTACTATGGGGTCATAAAACCACTATGAAACTTACTCATTGTCAGGCAGAAGATCTGTAACAATTTTAGCTTTGTTGTTATTAATCTTGTACAATCTTCTCTCAATGTTAAAGCATCTATTCCTGAAATTACAGTCAACATTGTATTAAGAGACCACTCAAGGGACTGCCAAAAAGTGGTCTCTTAATAAAGTGGTCTCTCAATAGAATTCTGGAAAATTCAAGAATCGAGGGTTTCGTTTTTATACTACAAGTCATAGATATAATAACATCTTTTTATAATAACAAAAACTGTATAATATTATTTATTATATACTTATAAATGAAATATTGAGAAATATTGATAAAATAAAATGCGTATTTTCATTTTCCGTATTTTCACTGTAAAAATTTATTTTTCACTGCAGTGAAACATATTTTCCATATTTTCACTGGTGTCTGGCCGGACTACTTTCTTTTAAATTCTGTCAGAACACAAAATTTAACGGAAAGTTTTTCAAATTTTAATGTCAAGAAAGAGAAAAATGTATATAATAAACAGAAAATTCAAGTTTTTTTCTATAAATACATAATTTATTTTCATCTTGTGACATGAAAATTACCATATTTCATGAGTGGCGGTAGCCACTCATGAAATATTTATTTTCATACCACTCGATGAAAATAAATCATGTATTTATAGAAAAAACATGAATATCCTCTATGTATGTATTACAGTTTCATATATATTTACATTTATGCTTTTTTTAAAATGTGTTTGTTTTTTAGTAGAAATTTGTGAACAAAATGTGATCTACGCTCATAATACTATCAAGCAGGTCAATTTGACCATGAAACAAAGCATACTAGTATTGTCTTATATTGTTAATTTGTTCATTATACATCTCCTGCTGAACATACTTTCAAATCATCAGCCAGAGCTCCAGATAATTTTTCATGCAATTAGTTTTAAACTTCTTGATTTTTTCAGCAATTAGTTTTTACACTACCCGATTTCAAATTCAATTAGTTTTTTTAGAGATCTAGGATTTTTATTTTATTTTTTTGTCGAAAGGTAATATTTAATGGGGTACTACATGTATTTTAAAAAGGATCAGATTAGCACATACACCATCAGCAATGAAAGGCTTGGTTTTACCGAAGTATGCTTCTGTAATGTTTAGTCCACTATGTTTCACGATTTTTTTCCGACGACAAACAATGACATTTGCTACATGTATTTACTCAGACTCAATTCCACGCACAACTTCCTCATTCGATTTATCCGGTCTTTTTAGTTGTCTGTCATTTTTTTGCTTGTTCCGACGTCATTTTCAATTTGATTATCTGGAAGAGAAATCATTCTGAGCACATGACAAAACTGTGCAAATGCAGTGTTGTGATACCTTATTGCTCTGACAAAATATGTCACAATAAATATTACAATCCGAAAACTGTTTCTTTCGTTTCCGATTTTGAAGTGATTGCAATTGTTATTCGATTTATTTCTAAACGACAATTATTTGTGATGGTCCATTCATAGTGGACGCTGGCCATTATATAAAACCGCCGTTTAATCAAATTAACTTATATAGTAAAAATCATTGGGAGGATTTTTATGCGGCCGCTTAATAAGAAAGTCGCTTAATAAAGGTGGACACAAGTACGATGCCGACTGTATACATTATATTCTTGAAATTACCAAGGCTAGTATTATAAAGGGTATCAAGTAAACTTTTTCCTTAACGTTTTGGCTAGTAGTGAATAAGTTATATTGGGTCATGTCCTTAAAAATATTGCTTAAATGGTTAAGGTCCTCTGAACAAATTGTCTGTCAAGCTAAATATTGTAAATGCCTTTTCCTTATAACGAAATATGCATGATCCTTTGTTGTTACTGTACAAAATTTAATTACAGTAGAACTTTTACGTGTGGAACTTACATTTGTCAATTTTCTATATATGTGTCGAAGTAAAATGAAAGTACTGATATTTTTCCCTATATATTCTTTATAATAACCTATAAATGACTGGAATTTTTATGTCGAATCTTTTTATGTGTTAAAGTTTTTATATGGCCCGTAATGAATAACTCAAGAATATTTTACCATAAATATTTAAGTGGAAGTTTGTTGATCAATATGACACCTTCCATCTTGGGATATTTTTTACACCTTTTCTAGCTGCGATGATGATGGCTGATT